GGTAATGAATTTACAATATCTTTAATTTTATCAAATTTCACTTTAAAAGTAGAATCCTTTTCAATATTTACAAAACAATTTTTAATGTCATTAATATTGGACTTAATCAAATTAACTTTTTTAACACGTTTACTATAATCATATGAAAAAATTACATTTCCATTAGGGTAATAATCAATTCTGTCTGCATTCATTAATTCAACACTTTTATCAATATTAAAATGATTATTAAATAATTTTTCAAAATTTAAAAATCAGTGTATCTTAAATCAAATTCATTTGTCTGTTTAATTATATCCTGATAGTCATTAGGTGATTGTATTTCGAGTAATTTTAACTTTTTGTCATGAATTTTTATTCATAAATATATGAATCAAGAACTCAAAGAGTAGCTTATTTATTTCATTGTAATGCCAAGTAATGCATTGGTTTTCACATTTAATATACAATTTGCAAAGGAGTTTAGTCATTAGTTGATTGAGTTAATGCAAGCAATGTGAAAACCAATGCTTTATTTAGTTTCATAAATAGGCTACTCTTTGAGTTCTTGATTCATATGTAATATTCATAATAAGTTCATTAATATAAAACCCTTGATGTCCAGTATTAACGCCCCTCTGTCAATTTGGATGTCATATTTGGTTGTATTTTATTTATAAAAGAAATGTACATAACAAGAATACAGTATACTTTATGCAATAAGTTATATATTTGTCACCACAAAATACATTTGTCTTTCCTATTCATTGGAGAATTAGATTTACAATTGAAAGCATCGGAAAAGGGCTGAAAGTTAGATAGAGGAACGTTAACTCGGTATTTGCCTGGAGTATGGACTTCGCTAGTAATTTGTACGTCTAATGCTGTTTTTCGTATTAGATTGCATTTAATCTATTATTTAATAAAAATTTTAAAATTATTAAATTTGAGTTATGAAAGGATTGTTCATTATTCATAACGTACGGACGCGTATGAGAGGAAATAGAGCTGTTGTGGTGTGTATTGCGAGACATATGGCAGTCGTAGTGGTTCTCCGTATGTCTTGACGTACGTCTGAAACGCGCGGAACGACTCTCTGAGGCCTCCGTTGTCCGCAATATTCTCTCCCAAAG